TTGTCCAGATACGGGTCCGTCTTGGTCATGTGCAGCATGACCGTGGGGGCTTTGTAGTGGCAGTGCACCCCGCCGCAGCTCACCCCGCTGCAGGGCTTGCCCCTCGTCCTCACGCCCAGCTTTCTGTTGCACAGGCTCTGCCAGGTCTGCAGCGTCTTGGAGCTCCAGACCCACACCCCGCTGGTGATGCCCACCACCAGCGACATGAAAATCTTTAGCATAAAGACGGCCACGGTGGGCACCGAGGCCTCCAAGGAGCAGTTGGCAGCGCGACGGCCGGGGAGGTGCAGGCAGCCGCGCTCCAGGGCCCTGAGGTTCCAGTAATCCACGTTCAGCCGCTCGTAGAAGTAGCAGACGATGACGCAGGTGGCTGGGACGGTGTAGAGGATGGAGAAGACCCCGATCTTCACCATCAGCTTCTCCAGCTTCTCCGTGTTGGTGCCGCCCGTCTTCATGATCTTCCGGATGTGGAAGAGGGCGACGAAGCCCGTGAGGATGAAGGAGGTGCCGATGACCAGGTAGCAGGAGAGGGGGATGAGGACAAAGCCAGTCAGGGCGCTGACGTCCATGCTCCCCACGTAGCAGAGCCCCGTGAGCTCGTCCCCTGCCACCTTCCGCATGGTGAGGATGACGATGGTCTTCATGGCCGGGATGCCCCAGGCGGCCATGTGGAAGTAGCTGCTGTGGGCCTCGATGGCCTCGTGTCCCCACTTCTTCCCGGCGGCCAGGAACCAGGTGAGGGTGAGGATGACCCACCAGAGTGAGCTGGCCATGCCGAAGTAGTAGAGGATGAGGAAGACGATGGTGCAGCCCGTGCTCTCCAACCCCTCCTGGATGATGTAGAGCTCGCCATTCTCCCGGTCGCAGGCGATGTTCTCAGCCCCTGCCACCGAGCGGATGATGAAGGCCACGGAGTAGACGTTGTAGCACATGGAGAGGAAGATGATGGGCCTCTCGGGGTACTGGAAGCGGTGGGGGTCGAGCAGGAAGGTGAGGACGGTGAAGGCGGTGGAGACGAAGCAGAGGGTGGACCAGACGGCCATCCAGATGAAGGCGAAGTCCTTGTCCTCCCGGGACCAGTAGACGTCCACCCCGGGGGAGCACCGGGGCGCGCAGGAGAGGCTCTTCTCCACGTACTGGAACTTCTCGGGGTTGTCGCAGGCCCCCAGGCTGTGGGGCCCCCGGCCCTCGGCCGCGCCCGGCGGCCGGGGCCGGGGGGCCACGGGCAGCATGCCCTGGCCCTTGTGGGGCTCGGCGGCCGAGGCGTTCTCGGGGGCCTCCATGCAGAGGGCGTTGGGGTCGTTCTTGGTGGGCAGCTTGCCGCAGTCGAGCGACTCGGGCCAGCCGAAATTGAACTGCTCCATGATGGGGACGCACTTGTGGCGGGCCTGCTCGCACATGGGGCGGCAGGCGGGGATGCTGGCGCTCACCTGGTCGGTGCACATGGGCGCGTAGAGGGAGCAGAGGAAGAAGCGCAGGTGGACGTGGCAGCCGTACTCCACCAGCG